GTGTGTGTGTGTGTGTGTTGTGCGTGCGCACACCCTCTCTTTTCACATCTTTTCTATTCGATGGTGCTCTGGACCAACCAGCCATCTATACATGGCTGAAGGTCAGGCCCATAGTGCGCCTCTGCTAGGCGATGCATGTGGGCAGATCCTCAACTTGTGGCTGTAGTTCTTTCAGAGCGGCAGGGACTCAACATTTGGATTGCGAGTTGGTTCCTTAGTTTGCGCTGCCATTCACTTTGTACTTGGCAGAGTCTGAGGAAGTCTTGGTGTTTCTCTTCGCTGAGTTCGGTGGTGACATTGTGATTTTTGTGGAACTTGAATCCTTGCACTGAAGTGTGGCTTAGCACTCAGCGGATGTGCTGGGTGTAAATTGCTGTGTTCTGCAACCACATTCCATCTTCCAGCATCCGCGTGTGATAGATCCTGACGAACCATTGTTCCCAACTTTGTCCTTATTTCCTTCTCCGTATGTGTTGAGCAGGTTGTGAGTCTGTTTCTGTTGTATTTCTTCCTCGAAGGCGGCTCTGCAGATGTTAGCGTTATTGCCCTCCTGCTATATGTCGGTTGTTATCAGGTAAGCATCTGTGGTTCGTATGGAACGTAATAGAAAAGCTAGAAACAACTATACAATGTATCTTGAAACAACTATACAATGCAGGGTAGGTAGGTAGCTAGTGTGAGATGGGCACAGTATTGAGATAAGAAAGTAGGGTAGTAAAATACAGCTTGTCCCCCGATGATGAGAAGACAGCTGTATTTAAAAAAAAAAAAAAAAATAATAATAATAATAATAATAATAATAAAATAATAATAATAATAAAATAATAATAATAATAATAATAATAATAATAATAAATCGTACCAGGGAAGGATGAGAAAGGAGTCGTCGAGGGCACTTAGCTATTCCCCTTTTATTTCTCAACTGTGCCACTGAGGTTCCAAGAAAACGTCATATCTTTTAAGAAAAAGAAAAGAAAAAAAAGCAGGACCTTATGGGCCAGAAGATGTCATTTCAAAAATCGGAGATGAAGTAATTAAGTGTCAGACTCGCAAACCTTTTGTACTGTGTCACTTGATTATGACTGTTTACTGTCAAGCTTCACCTTCACATTCTCTTCATGTGAAAACGTCAAATCTCTTCCTGCTGCTCGTCCTCCTTTTCTTGTTTTTTTTTTTTTTTTTTTTTTTTTTTTTTTTTTTTTTTTTTTTTTTTTCCCACCCGTCTAGAATCCTTCCTGCCTCTTCCTTCCCCTCCATGAGTTGTGAGCCTGGAGAAAAGAAAAAAGAAAAAGAAAAAAGAAAAAGAAAAAAAATGTGAGCCTGCTAGCGGATTTGGCAGCAGCGACAGTTAATCCCATGTGCAATAATACTACAATACTAATAATGAATGTTCAATGTATTAATCCCTCAAAGGAAGAATCGGGTCTCTGGTCATGTGGGTGGTTTTGGGAGATACTGTTGGTTTCAGATGTGGTGATGTTTTGGGAGATACTGTTGGTTTCAGATGTGGTGATGTAGATGGTTTTGGGAGATACTGTTGGCATCAGATGTGAATGGTGCTATGGTTGGTGCCAACCCACAGCTGGGGTTGTAGGCATTATGAAACATGACTTGGCTTGGTGAGATATTCACAGGATTTTGTGCGACGTAATACCTCTTCTATTTTCCTTTGTGTGATATACAGCTCATGAGTTAAAATCCTAAATGGGGCAAGAGTCTCCCCCATACTTGCAACCACACCGTGCGTTGTACAGTCCGGTACGCCGCACGGCGTGCGTCGCGGCACCTTCTCGTGCGCCGTACCAGCGGCTGTTTCCTTTTTTTTTTTTTTTTTGGCTGTTTTTGTAGATACAGAAGAGTGCAACACCTGAAGAACTGATCTTTTTCAAGTGCAACCGTACAAATTGTAAATTTTTCTTTCCGTCCAATTGGGCATGTGAAATAGCCTCAAAAAGGTGCCTGGGACATCAGTCTTGACCTTCAGGTAGCGTCGTTACCCTCCTGCTAGGTTTTTTTTTTTTTTTCTCCATCCCACAACAAATCCTTAAAGGGGACGCAGGTGACCATTGACCCAGCCATGTGACCCCCTTTTTTTTTTGAGTGAATTTTCCCCCTGTGTGCCGCACCGTGCGGGTCCGCTCGTGCGCCAAATGTGCGGAATTTTCCACACGGTGTCCGCTTGCATGTATGGTCTCTCCCCACCTCTTTGTATCCCTTTCCCCATTTCTGTGCTGGGGTTGTAGCGGCTGGCCTCCGCGTGTACGGAGAAAGCAAACATATGAGCCATCACACCATCTAGATCAACAGAAAATAATTCAAATACTGCATTTTGCCATTTACTCCTTTTTTTTTTTTTTTTTACGAAAACCGGTGCCCTCCTGCTAGGGGGTGGTGATAAGAGCATCCCTCCCTAGCAGAGCAGAGCAGAGTATGCGTCGAAGAACAGCCTGTGCAGGTTGTAGGACGGACTCAAAGCTCGTATGTGACTGACAAACCAAAGCGATCAGCCTCAACCATTGACACGGAATGAGATGTAGATGGGGATGGAGAAGAAGAGGGGAAAGAGAGTGGAGACAAGTAGGTGAGAGGAGAAGAAGAGAAGATAACACTGGTACACAGTAAAAAAGTGCAAATAATCAAGCTTCGTTAAAATAACAGCATCATGATAGTGCAATTAGACTTGTCTCGATTTCACTGCCAACATGCATGCATGTAGGTGCTGATGGCAGAACAACTTCCTCAACACAGATGGCGCACTGCGCCACACAGAAAACTCAGAGATATGGCCTTCAGCCAGGAACTCAGCTTAAGTCAACTTGTCACATCTTGCGGCTATGGAGTCTGAGCGCCAGTCTGAATTCCCACCCGAATACTGCATCCACCATCAGACACACTCACACTCACTCATATGCATGTACACACACACTAGGATCTATTCTGAATGTCTACGCACAGACACTACTGTCGCCGTCAACACGGCCGGAGGCTATGGCCGCCGTCGACTTCCTCCTACTTTAGCGGCTATGGCCGCTGGTGTCTTCCTCCTCTAGCCCACTGCGTCACCGGGCTCCTGCAGACCTCTGATGCACAAGTCGCACAAGCAGCGCTTCCAGATGGCTCGCAGGTGAATGAATGCATGGCTGGTCGCTGCCTCTTTATTTATACTGTTTCGTTAGGTGGTCTGGGCCTGCCCGATGTCGCAGGCCGGTAGGATGTGCAGTCCCACTTGGTACTTGCTGACTGGACAGGGTGGACCGGGACTGGGACTGGAGCTGCTGACTAGGCTAGGACTAAAGCATACTTTGCTGACTCAGCTACAGTCGACTGACTCCTACAGCTCCGAAGAGCCAAGTAGCGATTTCTAGAACTTCCTAGGCTTGATTGACTGACCCTTCGCTAGACTTAGGGCTAACTACAGGATTGGCCCTAGGACTGCTAACGCTAAGGTCTATGGTTCAAGTCCACGTGACCCAGCAGTACACACAAAACACAGGTTACGGGTACTAAGCACACAGGGTCAACTGGTTGTTGTACAGGGAGTTCTGGGATAGGTCTAGGGATTGAGCCTTGGGGTCTGCATTTGTCATGCGAACTGGGTGAAACCCTTTCACTCCCGCCGTCCTAAATTCGAGGTCCTCCGAGAACTTTCTTATCCAACGCAGGACCTTTGCCCTTTCTTGCTCTTTCATAAGCATGAACTATGTTGGGAGCGGTTTTTATGAGTTCGGTTCTTGTGAACCATCTGTCATCCTCAGGTTTTTTGTAAGTGAACCTGACCCTGTACTGCTTTTGGGGACGACCTCTACCTCCGGTTCGCAATACATCTTCTAGTATCCGGTCTATATCATAAGTGCCATCCATATCTGGCAGAATCATAGATCTCCGCGAAGGAAACCGTTTGCTGGTGACACAAGGTAACAACTTTGATGCGTGGAGACCGGATACGTATGGAGGTGTGGTGGAATCTCTATCGTTTAAGATGGTCCATCCTCTCCACCCTTGACTTCTAGGACAGGCCACAGCCCTCGGTACGCAGGCAAGAGCTTTTGGGAGATGTTCTCTTCTGCTCCGAATTCCTTTGACTTGATCCAGACTAGGTCGCCTACCTCGAACTGTGAGTGTGGCATACTGCGTAGCCACACGGGCCCTGCAGGGCCCGTCCCGGACATTCAGCCTAAAAGCCTAAAACTTAGGGCTTACAGGCCCCGGTCGTTTCAGCCTGAAAGCTGAAAAACGAGGGCCTACAGGCCCTACTCCGTTTCAGCCTATTTCTGGGTCTTTCAGACCCAGAGTTTTTCCAGCCTGAAACGGAGGGCCATTTTCAGGCCCTCAT